GTGAAGTCCAGTGGCTTACGTAAATTACTAATTTTAACCCAAACCACGCTCCTTTCCTAAACCTAACGAAGTAGTTCTGTTGCCTAACCCCAACCAAACTACAACCGTTGGTCACATATTTAATGTTATGTGACTTACGGAATGTACTTAAAGTGAAGGTGAAGCGCTCATAATGGCTCTGTGTCCACTGCATGTTCAGTTTGTGTCTGTGTTTTGCTTGTACACTGTGTAATGGGAGCTGGTCACTCCCATCATCCCTTTGTAGGTTTCTGGAAAAGATGGAGGGATGAGCCAGATTGGCTTCACTGATCCAGCTCCCTGACAGGCTTCTAAAATTGCTTTAAACGCCCTTCCATCACAAGTTTGTTCTCCCTTCATAGTCTATCAGTAGTGGGCTGTAGACCTGGCTCTGTTTAGTCAGTCACTGAGGGCCCAGACCACTGTAGAGCTCGGCTCTACTCTGATTAGACTGCACACTCCCCATGGTGCTTCTGATCAGCGGCCATACTCGTCTCTTACCATCCATCTCTTCATCCCACCCTCTGTTTCCATCTCTCTGAGCTCCATCGCTCTCCCTTTGTCGTTCTTTTGCTCCTTCTTTCTCTCCTCTCTCATTCTGTCCATCCATCCATCTGTCCCGATCTCTCGGGAGGCCAGCCCAATTAACCTGTTTAAACAGCCATCTGAGCATCCCATCCATTCCAATGTGGCTGTGTGAGAGAGAGCCAGTTCACTGAGCCAGGATCCCGGTGCCAGGCCCCTATCTGCTGCCCTCCCCAGCCTCCACCTCACCTCCCATTCCTCTCTCCTCATCATCATCATCCTCTTCCTCCTCTTTCTAGTGCCTCCTTTCTTGTCCTCAATGGGCCTGATTGGAGCAGAGACCAGGACTGGTAAGAGTGGTTTCTTTTTGTTTTGTAGAGCAGGGTGACATCTGATGCAGTCAATGCACCATACTTTTTACAATTTAAACGGCAGCTATAAATTCTGCCGTCTCTGGAGATCTCCACTTTAGCAACTGCAATCTGCCTATGAGCTTTTTTGCTCCTTTCTTTTTCCTCTTAACGTACTTTCATTCATTTCACTGTCTCTCTGATTTCCCCCTCCTCACACACTCCATCCTCCCGTCAATTTCTCCCCCCTCCTCTCACCTTCTCCCTCTCACTCCTCAGCTTTCCCTCTCTCTCCCCTGACTGTATCCCTTTCTCACTTCCCTTTCAACACTTGTCACCTACTTCCTGTCAGGCTGTCCAGAGAACACCACAAGAAGGTCACAACTCTTTTCAGCGTTGGTCTCCTCCTTGTCCTTGTCTTGTTGGAGGGAGTAGGGAACTTTAATTAGAAAAGTGGTGAAATTGTGAAGATGGAGCTCAGGATGTGGTATCATCCAAGCAGCACACAAAGCACCATTCCACTGCCTTTCAAGAAATTGTGATAAAAGAAATCATGAAATATATTTCCTCACAGTGTGAGAATGGGCATAGCATTCTGTAGTATTGGTAACATTGCAGGGGTGTGACTGCTCATATTGACTAGACAGTGGAGAAGTGCTAGGCTGGCTACTTGGCACACTGGGGTCTGTGTTATTTGCCAGATCAATGCACACCCTGGTCCCACTGCTTTCGACGACTTGTTAATGTGCAGCACTGTGCCGTTGGGCTTTATTGCTCTGTTGTTGGCCGATTTTATAATGTCTCTTATAGCTGTATTGACCCAGCTGACTAAAAGAAATGGGTAGAATTGGCACTGTCTTTTTCTTTAATTGGTGCAAGAACAAGACCCTTTGGGTGCTCTATGCGCAGCCTGTCACTCCATTTGTGTGTGGGTATTGGTGCAGTTAGCTCAGCTTGTCATTGTTGAGACATGCAGGTAATCATAGAAAATAAATGCCTACACACACACACACACACACACACACACACACATACAGAGGCTGATTATCCCCCTACAGTATATACACCACTACTTACCTCATTATTTAGTGGCTCATCATCATAGCTCACTTGGTTTTCCACTGCAGTAACCCCTCAAATGTAGGCAGAGCTGATTGTTATAGAGACACTATCCCAGCAGTTTGGAAACAACACACTTGAGCTTTTTTTTGGTCTTGAGAAGGTGCAGCCTTTATTCACTGGCAAACTGTAACCTACACTGTACATTTACAACTTGACTTGACAACTTCACTGCTCACCCTTTGCTCTGCACCGCACCTATTCACCGTCACTCTCTGCCGTTCTCTCTCTTGCTGAACCACTCACTATGCACGGGTCACGCGTTATTTACACAAACGTCAATTTAGCTGGGTTACTACCTCCACTGCCAGCTCAAAGGTGGAACAATAATGTCTCCCCATTCCATGTTCATACGCTTTATACAGAATAAAACCTTCTGGCCATGAGGTTCTAACCATTGCAAGGACACACTGATTTCTGTAGTGTTTTTTTATTTTAACAATAAATAACTAAAATAAGGATCCCTTCCTAGATGATAGTTCAGACCCCTGTGATGATGCTTTCTTTAATATGGTTGAAGATATCCCCCTCGATTACCCCCTTCCTCAGTCCTGCACCGCTTAGAGATATACAAGAAAATAATTGGAGGACAGTGAGAGAAGGCACAACAGACCACCTGCTGCTTGTATTCTTTTCCAGTGTTTGACTGTTTCCCAGATACCAAGCCTTAGAAATACAATAAAGCATGCTTTGAGTTTGATTTTTGACTTTCTCATTGTTAAATATAATCAGGCCGGCTTCCAAAACCTTATTCGCACAGACACGTGTTTGCCAACTGGTGTTTGCTGTTGTCGCCCCCACCTTTGAAATCTAATCTTCGAGAATCTGCAAAAATGATGGTAAAAGAAATGAGATAGGATTAGATAAAAAGGAAAGACAATGAGACAAACAGAAAACAGCAAGCACACTTTTTGAGGGGTTTGTTTGGGAGAGAAATGTTCAGCTACACAAAGAGAGAAACAATTTGATGAATAGCAGAGACTTGTCTGCCTCTTGGGTTGATGTAATTCATCTCTTATGTCCTGTCTCCTCCTGTCTAGACCAGGACAGCACCTGCTACACAGTGGACAGTGTGTTGTTGAAGAGCTTTCCGCTTTGACTGAGCTGTGAGTGGCTGTCTGGACACTGGGCCTTAGAGTGAAGGGTACTGACATGATCACAAGCATACTTAGGACCAGACAGAACAAAAAGCCGGATTTACTCACAGTTTAGATGTAATACATAGCAATGGAAACCTTATTTCAGCTGTTGTAGAGATGTGGGAAGAGAGAAACTGCTACGGCCTTGAGCACAGGGTTTCCTACGATGTGGCGTCTAGACATTGTAATCCCAGAGAGGAAAGGCTGTGGGTGCCTCGACGGAGGAAGGAGAGGCCAGTATGGGCTACACTTGTCTGTGACTCATCTTCTTATGAACTATGCATTTTATAAGAAATCAAACAGAAGCGTGCCCTGAAAAAATCTGTAATTTGGGTTATTTAACTTTCTGTTTGCATAAAGTCTGTCAATGTATTCAGAGCCCTGCATATGGGTTGTTTGTGTGTGTATTTGTCTTTCTTTGTTGGGCAGTAATTAAAACAAACCTTTGTTGTTCATACAAATACACAAAATGTTTACATGGTATATATGCACTATTACTATTTTTTTATGAAATCATTTTGGGGGGAGTTTTTTCTTATTCAGTGTAATCTGCTGTATAAAATGTGAAGCCACAACATGTTTGGTCCATGGAACTTATGACAAAGGTAAAAACTTTGGTTTGATGAAGTCAATGAGGAGGAAAAAGTGGGTTCAGGTCATTAGGTATGAAACATTCAGAATTCTGAATCAAGATACACAGGTGCACTGTTCAAATAATTTTCAGCTACATTGCCATGCAACAAAAAGGCTTTTACATAAATATAAGACTATCTCAAGCACACACTGTATACGGATATATATGAAATGGAAACCAATGTGATGTGTGTGAAAGAAAGCTTTAGAAAATGGATAGCAGGAATGTAAAGTCTGTGATTTGAAGAAAATTGGTGGCCATCTGTGGAAGGAAGAAACCATTCAAATCTATCTGAAGTCATTCCACTTAAAATATATTTTGCAGTGAAATGGTGATGTGACGTGTTAAGTACTGCATATAGTGTTTGTGGTTTTCATATAAGGCTTCAGTTTATCTCATCTCAGTATAAACACAAAGTGTAGATAGAAAAGGATTGGATGACCTGTGCGGCAGTCATGGTGAAGGTAGATGACCTCATGGCTGAGAGCTGAGTCGAACTGCCAGAGATAACTGGAGAAAGACCAGAAGTAAAGTGATTTAGCCTTCAGATTAAAAGCTAAAAGCATAGTATTTGTCACTCTGGAAAAAAGAGTAGTACCATTAAATGCCACAACACTGGGGAAATCTTTTTTCCCTTACAGAACAGTACAGTTTAAACATTTGTAGATATGAATGCACTGTGTGGGAAAGAAGCTGACATGTTTAATGTTGTGCAGAATACTCCCTAAATATATCTTAGTTTCCATTTTGTACTTTGTCTTTATTTAAAGAGTTGTAACTTTGTTTGTTAATAGGGGTTTTATTTATATTGTGGTCAGATCTTCTTATTAATTCTAGTAGTTGATTACCAGATATTCTGCTTGGTCTGCCTACAAACAAATTCAGTTGCAAGCTCTAATCATGTTTCACCTTATCTCAAAATAAAAAACAAACAAACAAAAAAAAAACAGCGTACCACACCATCAGTTCAATTTCTTTTTCACACGCAGCTGGAGAAAATAACATTCAAGTAGTCACTGTAATATCTACCTCCTATACTGAAGTGTGTGTACTGCAGTTGTACTGTGTATGTGCATGTTTGCATGTCTGTTAAAGCAGATGTGCATTCATACTATATGCCATACTTTGTGCCCATTTCATTCACTCAATTGTCACTTTAATAAACTGTGTAAATGAACATTATATTCAGATTTTTCTCAATTCTCTTGTCTACAGTGAAGTTTGATGACTGCATGGGGAATGAAGCAGTGGTTTTCCAGAGCAGTGACCCTATCTTCAGCGTGCGGACAGATGGGTCCATATTTGCCCGGGGAGAGGGAGCCAGCCTGGACGAACCAGTCCAGTTTAAACTGACAGCAAGTGGTCCACACACACATGTCTGGGAGACTGTGATCCAACTGGCACTAATTGACCCACTTTCATCTCAACAAAATGAAAATGAGGTGAGTTATACACTTACTGCACATGAGCACAGACGTACACAAATATCATGCTTCAGATTTCAGTTACCATCCCAGAGCTTCTGCTTCCTATCAATTTTCTCCAGTGGTCTGGTGATAGTAACAGCCAAGAATCAGGTCAAAACTCCTTGGGGTTTTAGAGAGAGAGAGACCGGAGCAGAGAGAAGTAGCAGTAGCACATGGTTAAAAGTGATAGAATCACACTGCCACAGGGAGGGAGTATGATTCCCCTCAGCCATAAGCTGTTATTGGAAAACATCCTGTGCCTTGGATACTCCAGGGGTCCTCGACTCTTCCTCCTCTATTTAAAAGATGTAAGAGGTTAGGCGAGGACTGAGCAGCCTGAGCTCAACTGTCCCCATGACTACAGAACCACAAGCCCAGATCTGATAGTCAATATCAGCACAAGTGTTAATCAGATTAGGTAACGACAACACACATGATTAGTGGCCTTTGTTCACTAACACAGTGCAATTGTAGACATCTCATACAGGAGGTGGGCCAGTAAGTTCCTGATGAGATCAAATCTAGATGAGACAGATATAGAGACAGAGACATAATGACTGACAAGGATCTGAACCAGCTGTCACTTACTGGCCATAGAAACCTGCTAAATTCTTGTAGCAGCTAAAAGCTGTGTAAAAGTAATTGACATCATTAAAGGAGACCTATTAAACTGCTTTTCCAGTAGTATATTGAAGTTCTGTGACTCCTGTATGGCAGCTTTGCATGATTCAAAGTTCAAAAACATAATTTCTATCTTATACTAGCTTTTCATGTAGGCCTTCATTTCAGCCTCAGTCTGAAACAAGCTGTAGATACTCCTGTCTCTTTCAGGCGCCCCCGTTCAAAGCCCACTGTCTACTGATTGGCCAAGACCTGAAGCATATTACCAGTCTGTTTTTGCCGCTGAACGGTACAGACAGACTGAGTGTTGCTGTGCGTAGCAAATGACCATACATACAACACTGGCTCCGTCTAGCTCCATGTGTCATAGAACGGTGCCGGACGGATTTCTTTTAAATACTTTAACCTCATATTTGAAGCTTTGGCCATGTTTTACATGAACATCCAACATTGTAACATTGTAGATAAGTCATAAAATATGGAAAAGCATAATAGGTCTCCTTTAAAAAAGCAGCTATAATCAATGTATTTGTTTTTTTTTTTCACTTTTAGTGATAAGCCCACAGAGACATATCACCTGACTCTGCTTTTCCTGTCAGCTCTACAGAGCATTATAGCTCCTTTTAGCACATTATAGTGATGTTGAACCCCACAACTGTAATGTTTTGATTCATGCCAGGGATGCACAGGGTGCCAAAGTGCTGTGAAGCTGGAGTTTCTATTCCCCTGATATTTTCCCTCTACATGATGAAATCAAAATCTGCCCATACACTATACTTATTAGAAATTGTATCACTGCTGTTTGTGATTTTTTATATTACATACTTATTCCACATATTTGTCAGTTGTGTCTAAACAGAGAGCAAGAGAGACCAGCAGACACACACACGCACACACACACAGGCAGGAGTGAAACCCCTTCCTGCAGATCATCTCACAAGGCGACCCTTTTAACTTCACTGCTGCAAAAGAAGCGATGCCCTGCTTATCCAGTAACACATAATGTTTTATGTTATAAATTAAGGACGTTATTATAAAGAGCAGCTCAACGTGTGATTAGAAAAGAGCAGAGAAGCAGAATCGCTTGTCGACCAGCGTAGAAAAATGCACTTCTTGTGTGAACAGCCAGGTTACTGTTAATGCGCGAATTGACCTATCACTGTGCTTCTGCCTCATCTGTGTAGCAGAGAGAGTTAGGAGAGTTTCAGAGTGGGCCTTTCGCTTTTGATTAGGGGTGTGGTTTGAGCAGGAGGAGATAAATTAGGCACCTCTGTGCTGGGGGGGAAGGGGAAGACAAACATTTCATGCATGGAGGAGAACAGAGGAGTAAGAAGTTTAGAGGAACAAGTAAGTTTGCTGAAGTAACCCAGTTTTGAGACATCATGGCCTTGGAGTGAATCTGAGACGCATATATTGGCAGCTGTTTTCAGCAAAAAAGCGCTAAAAACCTCCTGTCCACTACCTGTCCACCACCAGCAAATAGACAAAGTTAGCGAGTATCTGATTAACATAGTTAAGCATTTAGCTTATTTAGCCAGATATTTCCCACAGGAGTTGGTGGAGAACAAAACAGAGCATAAAGGTGAGGGAATATTGGATTGTTTGGTAACAAGTTCACCATATCATCTTAAAAGGATACCCTTTTTATCTAATATTACCAATTACTGTATTAGTAAATTGAGACTCTTATTAATTAAAAGTAATTTTTTCCATAACCAATTTATGACAAAGATTTTATGATAATTTGAGGGCTTAATTCAACTGTTATTTACTTTACCTACTTATTCCAGTTCTTGGTGAAGAGTGGCTGCATTCCAGTTACACTAGGCCAGAAGGAAGTATACCCTCTTCATAGGTCATCACTTTATTGCAGTGCTAAGCCAGATACACAGACACTCTTACACCCAAATGTCAAATATGAAAACACAGAGATCTTGACATCTTAACATTTTAGATGGGAGCCATTTTGAACTGTACTGCCTTCACTTTGAGTCTTGAGTTAATCATAACCTGTAATGAACTGTGAATTCTGAAGTATGTGTAAGCAAAGAGATGAAAATACCGTAAAAAAAAGCCATCTAGGTTAGTTTGAATGACTGAAAGGTATCTGACTTTTACAAGTATTCTCCTCCTAAAAAAAGTACGGGAACACTTAATCGTCACAGCATAACTGCATAATTCAATTAAACTTCTGGGATATCAATCTGTCCAGTTAGGAAGCATAAGCGATTGTGAATCAGTGTCACTGACAAACTGTTAGAAACACACTCAATGAGGGTGGCGTAAGGGCCCAACATCCTCTAGTGAAATCTGTGCTCACAGCCAGCACCATGCAGCTCGATGACAATTTTCCAGAGAACACCTGAATTGGCATGTCCACCATCGGCGCCTCATTCTCCTCACAGATGAGAGCAGGTTCACAATGTGCACATGTGACAGATGTGAAAGAGAGGAGAGGCTGTGGTGAACGTTGTGCTGCCTGCAACATCCTCCGGTTTGGCGGTGGAGGTTGGTCTAGGGAGGCATATCCTTGGAGGGTTGCACAGACCTCCAAATGTTGACCTACGGTATACTGACTGCTGTTAGGTACTGGGATGAAATCCTCAGAGCCATTATCAGACTTTATGCTGGTGCAGTGGGCCCTGGGTTCCTGCTGTTGCAGGACAGTGCCTACACACTCTGTGGCTTCAGTGTGTTGGCAGTTCCTGGATGAGACCTGAATCCAATTGAGAACCTCTGAGATGTTATGTATTGGTGCACAGACTGTCCAGGAACTCACTGATGCCCCGATCCAGGTCTGGGAGGGGATCTCACACACTATAGCCGCTTTCCGTCCAAAAGTACCAGGGACGTTTAAGTCCCCAGTTTTCTTTTCACGGAACTAAAAGGTTCCTTCAGCCCACTGTTGTGTGCGTTTCCACCGTGGTCTAAAGACCTGCGAAGATTAGGCAAATTAACCAGCTAACGTAGGCTGTAGGCCTATACGCCGTACAAAGCGATGCACAGGCATCATTTGTAACCACTATACATGAGCAAAATTTAGAAATGAACATCAGATTTGATTTGAATATAATGAAAAACTATAGGCTTTGCATGACAATTACAAAAAGCTTTTTGTGTAGGAGCACTGTTTCCCATTAATTAACGAGACCATGGTGGCTCGCCATAGTCTAATTTGCTCTGCCATAGTCTCAAAATGAAACGAAAATTTTTTACACATCTCATAATTACATTTCAGACCTCTAACGTTGTGTTTTGGGCCGCTGCTCTGCGCCACTGTAAGCTAAGGCAATTAAGCTAGCTGAGCCTACATTTGGAGTGCACACGTATTCAAGCCTTTATGGTAAATTCACTGAAACGGACCAGTGCGAGCTGACAGGCAGGTTTGCGACTTTATCCTTTCAGTTTGTCTCTTTACAAACACAGGTTTTGCAGTATGAGAGTCCTACCTGAAGAGAGGCTGTGAAGTGTTCATGTTACGCCAAACGAGAACCATGCAACATTATTTATCAAATTGGGTCAGACTTGATGAATTTAGCGCGAGGTAGTGTTGCCAACATTGTCACTATGAAATAAGGGACAAAAGGTAGCACTGCTGCAGCAGTGCGGGTATAGCCTGTTTTTGTGTGAATATACAGTGTATTGTTTTAAGCAATACACTGTATATTCAAAAAAATAATAGTTATTTACAGCAGGTAGCTTTAACACAGTTCTTTAATTAAACCACTAGCCTACCCTTTACTATTTCTCTAGTACAAAACACTTGCACTGTAGGTTAGAAAAGGTTTATCCCCTTCATATAGCCTACATATGACAAACTAAAAAGACAAAGCTACTTGTGATGCGTTTTATTTCCAGTTCATGCTTTTTCAGGCAATTCATCAGAACTTGATGAATACCGCAGTTTCATCACTATCTTCATGAAAGTCAAGTAACTTGCATCACACTCCATCAGACCAAGAAAAATACGTTTCTGCGTTACAGGGGGGACAGACTGGGATTCTTACTGCTGAATCATTAATAGCTGCAAGCATGCAGGCCTGAGGCTGACTCTGAAAGTATCAGACATGTTTGTCTTATGATAATAATAATAATATTATCAACAGCTGTGGCTATGTTTGCGACCTGAGCTTTCTTTTCTCCGTGAGAAGGAAGAATTTAGAAAGTTGCATGGCGCTGCGGAGAGCCCCCATCTGCAGGATGGATCATACTTAACATTCTTTCAGCCAGAGGGAACGATCACAAACCGTTCACAGCGCACCAAAAATCGCTCAGAATAGTCTTTTCTTAAACACTAAGATCTCAATAGTATATCTTTTTGAGATCACTCCAATCTGAATTGTTGCTCCTAAAAC